AAAAGCAATAATAATCACAGATACTTATTCACCATCTAGTTATAATAATCTACACTGTAGCTGCCAGTTTAAAGCCCCTGGCCCACCATTAGATCGTAAACAACCTGAGGGCAGACTCCTTGTCTTCTACTTCATCCATGACTCTGCCCTATGTGCAGAGTGTGCTCAACTTTCAGAGGGAATACTGACTGATGGGCACTGTGAAGGGAGGGCCCATGCTGTTAATGACTCACCCCCGGAGAAAGGACCCAGGGTCAAAGTCACAGGTGTCAGAACATAGCTCTTTAGAGAAAAATATGCATTTGACCTGCAGGATATTAATCACCTGACTTAGAAAATGAACCTGCCTAAGTGTAAATATTTTTCAATTCCATAATATCTGGTGTCATTAAGCTAATACTATTTGTAGCTGCTAGAAATTATCCGTCCAGATGTTTGGTTATTTGAAGAGCAGCAGGAAAAAGCTATGGTGTCATTTCCAATTCTCCATGTGTGACTCCTGGTATTTACAGCTCATCCTTGACTTTCTCCATTCCACTGGAAACACAAGTCTTTCTGCCTCACTGACTTTATTTCCTTCTTCGGGACATTACATCCACTGCGGCCCATGCCTCTGGATCTTAGCCTCACAGCTCCTCGCCAACTTACTCCTCTACGCCTGGGAACCGACTCCTGCCTCCTGTCACCCAACCCAGAGACTTCAATGGGAATCGTAACATGTCCCCCATCTAAAGACATTTTTAATGGCCAGGGCCTCAATGTGCTGGGTGCGTGCCCATCAGCTTTGGCTATTCAGCAGAGTCCCTAATACATTTTAACATCCCAATTTTCAACGATGATCTTTCAAATCACAGCAAGTAGTTTATTTGCCGAAGGATAAACAAGAGATTATTTTAGTGGTTAATGTACAAGATGGATATTAAAACCCTAGTTTTGCTGCAGGTCCAAGAAGTCAGAGAATGTGGGTGAGACTCTGCGCCTACCTGAGCCCACCATTAGAATAATTCTAATGAATACGGAGGAGATCCCACATTAGCCAATAAAACCCCTCATATCAACTATATGTTGATAATAGGGTATAAATGAGGTTAAGAAATCTAGCTTCAGAGGAACAATGCCCTAATAGCCTTCTTGTCTGTCTGTATAACTGTTACTGTTCTTGTTACTATTATCTCAAGTGATGCACTCACAGTTCATGGGTCAAGCACTCCCTTACTGGAATGAGTGTTCTGATTTGTGAATCAGTCTCCTATATTTATGTGACTTATGATGAATTTATAGACCTGGAATGCTGGGAATCAGAGTGCCAGCAAAGACAACCACCAAGGGAGAGTGCTTAGGCACTCTCAAGGCTGTCTTTCGGGAGCAGGCAGTTGGGCCACAGGGTCCCCCTCCAGCCTACCATGTTGGAGTGGGCTTAGACGCAGCAACTGAGATTCAAGGGCACATGCGAGGATGCCTGGGTTCTCAGCCTTTTCAGGCCTCTCAGTCAACTGCAATCATTCTCAGTGGGAGAGGGGTGGGTGAGGGAGAGTGAACAGGCCCGCACAGCCCCCTCCCAACAGAATCTAGAAAAGGAGTAGCTGTGTAATTGTTAGCTGAAGCACTCCCTTTGCTGCTGCCACCCCCATTCTTCATCCATACCAGATGCTAACAAATGCTCATGGAGAGATGTGCCACACCCCAACACCCCTTTCAAGCAGGGACTCAAGAGTGCACAGGAGTGAGCTCAGGTGGATGGGGCAGAATGTTGCTAAGGCTGCCTGAAGGAACACATGGGTGATAGAGAATGAAGACAAAGAGAACGTAAGGGAGCGATCAAAAGCGCAATCCTGCCCTGGTTGTGTGGGTCAGTGGTTAGAGCGTCAGCACAGGAGGGTTGGATCCCAGGCCCTGTTGGAGCTCATGTGGGAAGCAACTGGTTGACCTCTCTCTCTCCCTCTCCCCCTCCTTCACTCTCCACCCCCCTTCCAATCTCTCTGAAAAGCAATGGAAAAAATATCCTCTGGTGAGTATTAACAAAAATAAAATAAAATAAAGTCTACTAAAGTGGAGTCATGTCACTGAAGACTGTAAATATCATTATTTGAATTTGTTACATGTTGTTATAGTTAACAAAGAAAAAAATTTCTTCTGAAAACACTATTAACTGACTGATAAAATGCTTAAAATAATATCCAAATTGCTAGAGTTAATTTATCTTTTTATTGATAATTAAAGATGTGTTATTAAAACATGGATTTAAAAATTGCCCAGTGTTCCTAAGGCCAGACACCAAGAGACTGTACTGGCTAAAAGATAACCCCGGATCATACCTATTCCTCATTCCGCACATACCCTGAGGTCACAGCCTCCTTTGTGCACCAACTTCCTCGGTTTTCACATCTCAGCGCTTCTCGATTTTACCTTTTTCCCCATGGATCTCGCCTGGGAATTCTGCAAGACTGCTCTCTGCTCCCTACCTGAAGCAGGAAATTGCTGCTGGGGGAACTTCCTATGAGAACTAAGCTTTTCCCAGCAATGCACTGGGGAGGGGCGGGGGGGGTGTAACACAGGCTGCCTAGAATAGATCCGGACCTTGGGCTGCACAGCCTTGTGGAAAGAACCCAGTCTCCTCACACCTCATACTAGCATTCCAGTTCACAGAGCGATTTCACACGCTAGCTGGCAAGCCCTAAGCCTGCCGTAAAACCAACCCGGGATCCACCTCATCCATCAAAGGGCTGCAGCTGCCGTTTGAGGGCCACAGCAAGGGTGTCCCTTAGCTGGGACTAAATCAGCCAGGGAAGAGGGCTCTTCCCTCAAATTCAAACCCTGGGAAACAATGCAACAGAAGCTGACTTGGCAATGAGGAAGGGTTACAAAGGTGGAGGGAACTGGGTTCAGATCCTTCAGAACTAACTAGCTGTGTGACCTTGGGTAGGTCATCCAATCTCCCAAAACCCGTTTCTTCCTCTGTAAAATGGGGATTAAAAAAAGGGTCTTACAAGGTTGGAGAAGCTTTAAAAGAAATGATGCATGCACCCCAATGTCTGCTATCCAAGAAATCCAAAGCAGTTGTGAGGTCCTCATATAGGGTAATAGTTAAGAGTGTGGGCATGATGCTAGACTGTTTAGGTCCAAATCCTACCCCTACCATCTTAGAGCAGCAGATAAATTATGTAACAACCTCTATGACTCAGTTTCCTCATCATTAAAATGGACCGTTAGTACAACACAAAGTAGATAGCCAATAAATATTAGCTATTTTTTATTTCATTGTGGAAAAAAAAAAAGCCCGTTTCCAGCTCAACCAACACCATAATGGTGATTTAAAGGAGAGTTCAATATAATGTGTATTTTTTAAATCGTGAAGACCTTGCATGCTTTTATGATTTTTTTTGGACAGAGTCCAGCGGTGGTGCGAAGGGTGGGGCCAAACTGTAATACGAAGAAAAAAATTCAAAGAGGGAAGATAACCACCCACCAGGGAGCTATTTCTTTTGTAATGTACATTCCATTTCTTCTCCCTCATGCTTTTTAATTCCTTCCACATTTCCTGCCATAATTATCAAATGTTTGGTTTCTGACCTCACTTTTCTGGAGACTTAGAGCCCGGGGAATTTAGGATTGTTTATTTTCTGTCCATAAACCTTTGAGTTAATGGAAGGGCTGGTGAGTGAAGGGTTTGTTGGTCTGTTTGTAGTGTCTCAGGAAGGTCACTGGAGTTGGAAAAAAAAAAAAACACAAAACACACACACACACATTACCAAAAAAGTGCTGAAATACTTTGGAAAAGCCGAGCCCTACAGAGCCGAGCAACGGATGGCTCACACTTGCGCAACGCTCGTTTAAGGGAAAATCTGAGATTTCAAAAGGCCGTTATACGGTCCTGAAAATAGCACAAAACCCGAGGGCACTTTACAAAGGAAGAAAAAAAAAATTATAACTTTATAAAAGAGAAAAAAAAAATCGACTCGGCCCTAAGAGAAGAATCTCCCGGGATTTCGGGGGGTTTTGTCATCCCCCCGCCCCCCCCC